ATAAATTCTAAGAGTTCTGAAGTTTGGTTCATAATTTCTTTGATATCCAGTGTTTGGATATTCCGATTTAAAGAATAATTTTCTGTCCAAAATAAAGTTTGAATCCGGGGAATTAAAAACCAATTTCTTATGTTATCGTTAGGCTAGGACCCTTTTATAACACGTTTAGCTAATTTAGAAAGGAAAAGTTCAAATGAAGAAGCCAAGTATTGTTTAACTTGTGCGGCTTTTAAAGAACATATATTCGATTTATGTTTTAAGATTATCCGAATCGATGCATCCTATTGCTGATATTAATCTAATATTTTTTGAGAAATTTTTAAAAATGCCACTTTTCAAATGTCATTTTATAAAAATATCACATTTTTACAATCTTTACAAAAATACCACTTTTTCAAAATTATTTATTCATTATATTATTTATGTTTGGATTAACTATGTTGTATTAGAGTTTAGTTTTGAAGGTTTAATGGATTTTAGGGGTCAAAAATTTTTTTATAATTTAGAATTTTAAGATTTAGACTCTAAAAAATCATAATTAGTGGTATTTTTACAAATAGACACCAAAAGTGGTATTTTTGCAAATGTTCCATATTTTTTTAAGAAAAAGAGCTCATGAATCATGGGACAATTACAAAAATGTCATTTTTTGTGTGCACATTTGCAAGAATGCCACTTAGGGGTGCATATTTGCAAAAATGCCACTAATTATAGATTTATAAAGCCTATATCTTAAAATTCTAAACCCTAAAAAATGTTTTGACCCCTAAACTCCATAAAGCCTCATAACTAAACCCTAATAGAACATAATTAACCCAAACATAAATGATATAAAAAAAAAAATTTGAAAAATAACGTTTTTTAAAGATTTCAAAAATGTGGCATTTTTGTAAAATGAAACTCGAAATTTTTAGAAATTTCTCATGAATCATCTGATTAATAAAGAAACAATTCTTGTATACCTTACATTACTTTCAAGAAGAATTACTTCTCACCAAAAAGAATATATATATGGGACCTATATACACACATTTTACTAATTAGTTGTCTAATCAACATAACTAGATAAAATGGTTACGAAATGGAAGATTAGCTCCTCCCTACAAATGCAACAGATATAATTTTTTTGAAGTTGGTCAACTAAATGGCGATTACGGAAGAAATTCCCCTTCTTGAAGAAAACGTCATGGACGCCGTTGACCACGCCGGACTTGCTGCCGGAAGATCCAACACCGGTAGATGGAAAGCTGCCTCGTTCATAATCGGTAATGAGATCCGTAAGTTTCTTCTTTATTCCTCACTTTTTTTGTTTTCTGAAATTTTTTCTTAGTAAATCTGCAGGTGTGGAGGTTGCAGAGAGATTCGCTTACTATGGGATCGGAGCAAACCTGATTAGCTACTTGACCGGACCACTTGGTCAATCCACGGCGGTCGCAGCCGCTAATGTCAATGCTTGGTCGGGTATTTCCTCTCTTCTTCCTGTTCTCGGAGCTTTTGTCGCCGACGCTTTTCTCGGTCGGTACCGTACAATTCTTATCGCTTCTCTTATCTACGTATTGGTTCGTCTTCCTATTGTCTCTTCTCTATCTGAATTTCAGTTTTAGGTGAAGGAATTTGTAGAAATCAACCATAGTATGAGTTAGATCATGGCTTCACTGTTACCACTTTGGCTTGTTTACTGTAGAGTGATCAAGATTTGAGAAGTAGAAATTGACTTGAAGTAGTGTGGATTTGATGTTAGGGACTGGCACTTTTGACTTTATCAGCGTTTCTGGTTCCGATCAGTAGGCCGACATATCAGAATGCGGAAGTGATGACCTCTTCACCTTCTCCCTTGCTCAATGTGCTTTTCTTCTTCTCTTTGTATCTGGTGGCTATTGGACAAAGTGGACATAAGCCTTGTGTTCAGGCTTTTGGGGCAGACCAGTTCGATGAGAAAGACCCGAAAGAGAAACTTGACAGAAGCTCGTTCTTCAACTGGTGGTACCTTAGTATGTCTGCAGGGATATGTTTGGCGATTGTAGTTGTTGTGTACATTCAAGAAGCCGTCAGCTGGGCACTCGGTTTTGGAATCCCGTGTGTGTTCATGGTGATCTCTCTTGTTCTTTTTGTTCTTGGGAGAAGGAGTTACAGGTACGCTAAAAGTAGACAGGAAAAGGAGATCAACCCCTTTACCAGGATAGGTAGAGTCTTCTTAGTAGCATTCAGGAACCGAAGATTGAGATCTTCGCAATTGTGTCAAATTCAGACTGAGCTGGAGGGAAATCCATCTCAAGGATCTCCAGAGAGGTCTAGGTATGTTCAATCCAATAAACTTAAATCCATGTTATGATTCGAAACCTTGTTGCATGAATGAGATAAATCCATAATCTTGTGACAGGTTTCTCAACAAAGCCTTGCTTGCTCCAAATGCATCTACTGAAGGGGGAAATGAATGCAGTATTAGTGATGTCGAAGATGCCACCGCTCTTGTCAGGCTTATTCCAATTTGGCTTACAACTCTCGCCTACGCCATGCCTTACGCGCAATATATGACTTTCTTCTCAAAGCAAGGCACCACTATGGAAAGAACAATAGTTCCCGGAGTAACGATCCCGGCTGCTTCTCTTCAGGTGATTCTCGGTATATCAATTGTGCTCTTTGTCCCCATCTATGAACGTGTTTTGGTCCCGATCGCCAGGTCCATAACCAAAGATCCTTGTGGCATCACTACGCTAAAAAGAATTGGAACCGGAATGGTACTAGCAACTCTCACTATGGTGGTTGCAGCTATGGTTGAGGTAAAGCGGCTCAAGACTGCAAAAGAACACGGACTTATAGACCAACCGAAAACAACCATTCCAATGTCGATATGGTGGTTAATCCCTCAGTATATGTTGCTAGGTTTGGCTGACGTACTCACTTTAGTGGGAATGCAAGAGTTCTTCTACAGCCAAGTCCCCACGGAGCTGAGAAGTATCGGTCTCTCACTTTACTTAAGCGCGTTGGGCGTGGGAAGCTTATTGAGCAGCTTACTCATCTCTCTTATCGACTTGGCCACTGGAGGAGACGCCGGAAACAGCTGGTTCAATAGTAATCTGAACAGAGCCCATCTCGATTACTTCTACTTGTTACTTGCAGTTATTAGCGCGATCGGGTTCTCTGCTTTCTTGTTCATTTCTAAGTCGTATGTCTATCGTCGGGTGGACGGAGGAGTGTAGCCCTTCGCTTTTCTTCGGATCCGAATCTGGATATCCTGTCTAGATTTGAATCCCGATACTCCAAATACTCTATTTTTCCGGAAATCTTGACTAATTATTAAACACTAGATGAAAGACCGCATATAGATTAAAAATGAAAACGTTGACGTAACCCACTAATTGAGAAACATATTATTTATTTATTAATTTTGATGCTTTTATTATTTGATTTAAAATTAAATTTTATCACATATTTTCAAATCATTAATTTTTTTATTCATATTAAAATTAAATTAGAGTATTTTTGATTTGTCCACGTAAAAGTTGTACACGTGCGTGTTTAGAGGGGTAATTTTGTCACATTTTATTTCAAAAACAAACTAAAGTGTCCCCTTTGAAATAAAAATGACAAAAATGTCGTTGGGTGTGTAATCAACCCATTATTTTTAGCAAAAAAAGAAAAGAAAAAAGATTATGATTATTAATATTTATGATTTGTAGCTAATAATTAATCTTAAGATCAAAATCATGATTTTGTTATTGTTATTTTTCAAAATAAATATAAATAATGAATACAATTGAATATGTTTAATATTTGTTGTTGTTTAGTGTTCTAAAATATTAATATAAATTTTCTTACATCAAATAATAATATTAACTCACCAATGGAGATGGTGCCATGGTGGTGCTCTGATAAGCATCACTACAGTTCTTACCAAAAAGAAAAAAAAATAGTACTAATCAACAAATCTTAGACAACGGTTACGAAATTAGCTTAGCTTCAACTTCTGCCATTGGTGGACCCATTGCCTAAATTCTCGCTCGTTTATTTGTAACGGCCACATCAGACAATATGGCGACTTCCGAAGAAACTCCTCTTCTAGAAGAATACGTCATCGACGCCGTTGACCACGCCGGAGTTGCCGCCGGAAGATCCAAAACCGGTCGATGGAAAGCCGCCTGGTTCATAATCGGTATAAAGCTCCAACGAGAATGAGATCAAAAAGTTTCTTCTTTTTTTACTGATTTTTTCCAGTAAATTAAATCTGCAGGTGTGGAGATTGCAGAGAGATTTGCGTTCTTTGGGATTGCAACAAACCTGATTAGCTACTTGACTGGACCATTTGGTCAATCTACGGCGGTTGCAGCCGCCAATGTCAACGCTTGGTCGGGAATTTCCCTTCTTCTTCCTGTTCTTGGAGCTTTTGTCGCTGACGCTTTTCTTGGTCGGTACCGAACAATTATCATCGCTTCTCTTATCTACGTATTGGTTAGTCTTCTACTGTCTCTTCTCTTTTCGATCTAAGATCTAGTGTTATATCTTTCATTGATTACAAGTTGACAAGTAGAAGTTGACTTGAACTAGTGTGGATTTAATGTCAGGGGTTAGTATTTTTGACTTTGTCGGCGTTTCTGGCTCCTATCACTAGCGACGAAACCGAAGTATCATCTTCACCTTCTTCCTTGCTCAGTGTACTATTCTTCTTCTCTTTGTATCTGGTGGCTATTGGACAAAGTGGCCATAAGCCTTGTGTTCAGGCTTTTGGGGCAGACCAGTTTGACGAGAAACACCGGAAAGAGAACAGAGATAGAAGCTCCTTCTTTAACTGGTGGTACGTTAGTATGGCTGTAGGGATCTCCATGGCCATAGTAGTTGTTGGATACATTCAGGAAGCCGTCAGTTGGGCACTCGGGTATGGAATCCCGAGTGTGTTCATGGTGTTCTCTCTTGTTCTTTTCGTGCTTGGGAGAAAGAGTTACAGGTACGCCAAAAGAAGACCGGAAGAGAAAATCAACCCTTTTAACAGGATAGGTAGAGTCTTCACTGTAGCATTCAAGAACCGAGGATTGTGTCAAGTTAAGACTGAGCTGGAGGCAAATCCATCTCAAGGATGTCCAGAGAGGCTAAGGTATGTTTATTGTAAAACAATATAACAATAGTATGTAACTAAAGTCTTAAATCCATCATTATGGTTTGTTAAACAGGTTCCTCAACAAAGCCTTGCTTGCCCCAAATGAATGCAATGCTAGTGATGTCGAAGATGCCACAGCTCTTGTTAGGCTTATCCCAATATGGCTTACAACTTTGGCCCACACCATAGCTGTTGCGCAATTCATGACTTTCTTCACAAAGCAAGGCGCCACCATGGAAAGAACAATATTTCCGGGAGTAAAGATCCCGGCTGCTTCTCTTCAGGTCCTAATCGGCACATCAGTTGTCCTCTTTGTCCCCATCTACGACCGTGTTTTGGTCCCAATCGCCAGGTCTATAACCAAAGATCCTTGTGGCATCACAATGCTAAAAAGAATGGGAACCGGAATGGTACTAGTAACTCTCACTATGGTGGTTGCAGCTCTGGTTGAGTCAAAGCGGCTCAAGACTGCAAAAGAACACGGGCTTATAGACCAACCGAAAACAACCATTCCAATGTCGATATGGTGGTTAATCCCTCAGTATTTGTTGCTAGGTTTGGCTGACGTACTCACTTTAGTGGGAATGCAAGAGTTCTACTACAGCCAAGTCCCTACCGAGCTGAGAAGTATCGGTATCTCGCTTTACTTAAGCGCGACGGGCGTGGGAAGCTTATTGAGCAGTTTACTCATCTTTCTTATCGACTTGGCCACTGGAGGAGACACCGGAAACAGCTGGTTCAACAATAATCTGAACAGAGCCCATCTTGATTACTTCTACTGGTTACTTGCGGTTATTACCGCCTTGGGGTTCTCTGCTTTCTTGTTCGTTTCTAAGTCGTATGTCTATCGCCGTGTGGACGGAATGTAGTCCTACCATTTTTCTTCGGATCCGAATCTGGATATCCTGATTATTAAATAAAAATATCCGAATACTTCAGAAATGGGTTGTTTGTTGCATAGTGTAGTAACAATCTGATAGGATCGTGATGGAGGAAGATGGGCCTTGGTGGCCTAATTATAATTATCTCTTGCTGTTACGTTTTTAGATCCATTACGTTTAATGTAAATGTAAGCAAGAAACATGAGTGTGAATTATCGAACAAATTAATCAAAAAATCATCAGCAAGATCTTCTTCTTCATCTCTTTCTTCCTCTTCTCCTAATTTCTATCTGATTCTTCTCTCTAATTCTTTTCACAATCTTCTATTTCTCTTCTTTATCTCATTTCTCTTCTCCTTGATAGGTTTCGAACTTATCATAATCTGATGAAATCAAAGAGAAATTATAAAAATCAGAAGAATAAGAAGAAAGAATAAAATTCTTTAATCTGAGGAATTCATAGAGCATATGTAAAAATCATATTTTTTGTTTAAGAAAAAAAAAAGAACAAGTCTTTAATCCGAGGAAAACAAAGAGCACATGTAAAAATCAGTTATTTTTTTGTTTTTTTGTTTTAAATGAAGAAGAATAAGAGGAAAGAACGAATCTTTAATCTGAGGAAAACATAAAATCAGATTTTTTTTATTT